CAATTAAGCACCGACATGACCTATAGACCTGACCTGGAGACCATGGGAGTGGTGCCATCTACTTCTGTCTACAGTTATTAATAAGATATTTTGAACCTTTTTTATATACTGTTTTTTTTTTAATTATTTTGGACACTTCCTAGATCTATAATTTTAATTAATTGAGCAATGGCGCGCTATTTCGTCAGCTAGAGTTTTAATTATTTCAGATGTTACATTATCTATCCCCGGCGATTTTTTGTTTCTTAACAAGTTTATTTGGGCTTTTATTTCATTTTCTGTCACTAGCTCTAAGAACAAGGAATTTTGAAGATGGTACCTATTAGGTTCTTTAATTTGAGAAGCTAATTTTTCTCCAATTTTAGAAAAACTAAATGTTAAACTCATTTAATATGTGTTTCGGTAGATTTATAAGATCGCCTGTTTCAAGTAGGGTTGTAACGGAACTTCGCCTTCGCCTCCGTTACTGCGGAAGTTCCGCAAGAAATCGTACCTTCGCCTCCGCTTCCGCCTCCGTCAAATATTTGCGGAGTTATAACGGAGATGTATTTACTTCTATCGCTACATGATGAACCGAGCACAAGTTTCCAGATTTTACCACCACTACAAAGTGTACATTCCAATCTGGCTGACAAGCTGACAAATATCAGTGACGGTGAAGAGGAAATCGAAAATAACAGCAGCAATAGAAACCTCATGATATGGAAATCACTAATTAGTGAATATAATAAAGAAAACCGACTTAATTTAGACAATGATCCTTTATTGTGGTGGAGAAATACTACTAAATATAAAGCTTTTTCTCCCATCGTTCGCACGTATTTATAGGCGCCGCCCAGTTCAGTCCCACATAGCACATGGACGTCTTATGGACGTCTAAAAGACGTCCTTCAGGGACATAAAGGACGTCCCAGGGACGTCCTCTTTTGGTACCGGGACGTCAATCGGACGTCCAATGGACGTCCTAATGTCCCGTTTCCGTCCATCTTTGGGACGTCCCTTAGGGACGTCCCTGGGACATCACAAAAGGACGTCATAGGGACGTAAATCAGACGTCCGAGAGACGATATTTGATCATAATCCATAAAGGGTAATAATAACAAAAATGTTAACAATAAAAGAGCTTTATTTAAAAACTTTTATCCTGAAAAAACTAGCTAGAGTTAAACGTTTTCAGTTTACAAAAAAAAAAACGGGAATGAATTAAATTTAACACACAGCGCTGGTAAGATGAAACCTTGTATCCTACTTATAGCTTGTGTCGACATAACTGAGTGAGTATTATAATTTTGTCAAAATTAGTTTTGTTCCAACTTTCCGCCATTGAGGTATTTTCTTTCCGCCAGCGGCTCTATCGCCAATACACATCACTTATTCTCACCTCAAGACAAAACACTTCACTTTATAACCACTTTACCACCAACATCAAAAACATAACAAATAACACTATATAACCTTCTTTTTTCTTGGTTAATCTAACTCACTTATATAAGTTAATTATTGAATGCCGAAAATTGTAGCTCTTGTTGTTCATTTGAAAATAAATGATAGGTTAGGTTTTCTGTCCTCGTACTCTTGCAAAAACAAAACGTTGAATTTCAAGTTATCGATTCAAAGACCAACGATGCTAGTACATAAAAAGTCCCATAGACGTCCTTTGGACGTCCCACTTACGTCCCGGACTCGGACCGAAACCTAAACGCTTTGTCGAAACGGGACCAAAATAGGACGTCCAGAGGACGTCCTTTGAAGGACGTCCTAGTGTTCACTGTAATCGGAAGTCCAGTGGACGTCCTATTTAGGTCCAGGATCAACCCGACCAACAAGGGACCAAATCAGGACGTCCATGGGATGTACTGTGCTATCTGGGGTGCCAATTAAACAATTATTTGGTTCAGCTGGCTTAATTTATAATCCTCTTAGAAATCGCCTGGATGGTGACAAAGCCGCAAAACTGTTATTTGTAAAATATAATTTGCCTCTCCTTAATTTTGATTACTAGTGATTTTGATTGCTAATTTTGGTGTTTATTAAAGTGTACTAACAATGAACCTATTTGAAATAAAGATTTTTTACTTTTGATAAACCATAAATTAATATTTTTCCATATTCACTTTTACCTCCGCGACCGCCTCCGCGACCGCCTCCGCGACCGCCTCCGCCTCCGCCTCCGCGGAGTTATTGGGTTATTCTTGTGTAGAATCGATAAATAATAGCATTTCTGTTTTTATTTCGTCTATAATTATAAATAATTTGTTAATTTAAATAAAACTATATGAAGTCAGTTTAATTACGAGTATTAAAGCAACAAAAATAAAAGAATAGGTGGTCCTGTGATCAGCGTTTTTACCTTCCACACGGAAGACTCGAGTTCGATTCTCGGATTGGTAAAAATGAAATTATCTCTTTTTTTCGTTTATTTTATTTTAAAAATTAATAAAAGTCATAAATTTTTTAAAAATTAATAAAAGTCATAAATTATTTTAAAATTAGTTATTTTTCTTATTTGTAAATTTTCGTTAGTGGGTCGTAGTAAAAATATTCTGTACAACTCTAGTAGATTTCCACATCGCATCGTGCTCAAATTTCGTCTTCATATCCACTCTTGTTGCACAAACTACTATTCTTGTTCAATTAAAAAACAATTTTTATCAGTTAAACTATTGTTCGCGTAAGATAATGTATTTTACCTTCTGCGTTAATGATATAATAATCTGCTCAGTATTTATCAATGAGTTTTAGTTTAAGGTTTTTGTAATTAATATTTTTTATAATTTTTTTTTGTGTTTTCGTCTAAAATGTACTGTCTGTTTACTGGTAAAAAAGCTGTAGTAGCCTTATGGTACAAAATGCGTGTGTGTATTAAATACAATTGCAGAACATCAATAATATTATTATTTTGTACAGAAAAGGAAATATGATTAAAACTTCTAAGGATTAATACAACTTTTTGATATACCTTGAATGATATAAAGTTATTTTTAGCTAACAAGTCCAAATAATCAGAAACCGTATCATTACTTCTTTTTAAGTCTATATTTATAACTCCTACCAGAATGTGATTTTCAATATTTTATTTTAAAAGATTTAAGTGTTGACTTTGATAGCAACTTATATGTATTCATTATATATTATAAACAAAATTATTAATACATCATATAATTCTTTAGAATTTTTGTTTTGGAATTCCAAATAGTTGGAACGATACACTACCACTGTTTAACCTTTTCGGGACCGTGCGCGGTATTATAGGTACCCCAGATGCGGTTTTTTTAAAATAACTTTCCAATTTTTTTTTTCTAATTTTTTTCCCTTTACGTATTCCTAGAGAATATACACGGAAAAAAATGTGACTATTAAAAATTGTATTTGTCAGTATACACAGAAATAGTCCATTAATACCAACACGAATTGGCGCTGCTGTCGCGCACGGAGCGAATACCCTTGATACATATGCTCATCTTGGTTTGTAAGGAAATAAGAGAAAAATAGCTTGGCTTGCCGAATTAACTTAAGGAGCCTTTAGGATAATAATTTTTTGTGCCTGGAAACCCTTCAACTAGAATGTAAGCTCATTTATGTACCCTTTTGTTTTTCACGGAAAAAAATGTGACTAGAAAATTTTACTACAATGTTGTGGTTGTAGACTTGTAGAAAAATACTTAACAATTTGTAGAAAATTTTACTACAATTTATAGTTAAAATGCTACAACAATGTTTAGTATATTTTACTATTGTTTGTAGAAGTAGAAATTTATTACAATTATCGTAATTACTACTATTAACTTCTGTAAAAATTTGTACAAATATTAATAATTATCTCTACAAAAAATAGTAATTTTCTCTACAAAAAATAGTAATACTTTACATCCCTTCTTATGAAAAAAAATTCAATTTTGTTCAAAAATATTCTATAATATTGTAGAAATTCTAAGCCATGTGAACAAAACAGAATTTTGCTATTGGCCAACGTTTTCTGACGTCAATCATAAATGGCCAGACAGCAGTAGCCGTTCGCCATGTTCACATAACAAAGCATGGTACATATACGAGTACCTATAACACATTATTATATAATAAGCACCGATGTGTTTGAGAAAATTTTAATAATAAATTCTATTGGTGGTAAGTACATTTATTATTGTTTCTGAATAATTTACCTTTAGATAACTAATTTAAATAACCTTAGTAGATTATTTAAAAAAAATAGTTGTGGCCAACGATCGAATGTTGTGCCCAACGAACGAATGTTGTACCCAACGATAGAATTTTGTGCCAAGTTCAATGATGTTTTTTTGTCTTAATTGTGACATACCTACTTTCTCATTTTTGTTAGTTATCTGACTTAGTCATTTAATATCCAAATCAGTGTAAAGGTGATAAATATCCCCGTTTTAAGGGTATGAACAGTTCAATTGGTAATAATTTTTATTTCATATTTTCAGGTGCAGAAAAGCCAACTGAGACTGAGGGCGCTATTATTACTGTTATTTATTACATATTGTAATTAAGATTTTGTATCTTTTATATTAAAACAATAAATTGAATATTTTATTAAGGAACATTTTTTTTTCTAGGTTATAATTATAATAATTATGGAATACTACTACAAATTTTATTAAAAATTACTACAATTTGTATGAATTTTTACTATTTATTGTGTAAAATTTTCGTATTTATTTTCATAAAACGCAATACATTTTTAATATAAATTCATACAATGAATAGCAAAAATTATAACAATTTGTAGAACAATACTTATGATGCATTTGGATATTTTTACTAAATATTGCAGATAATAACTCTACAATATATTCTCCACAAATATTTGTAAATTTTTACTACAAATTGTCCCTGTCCCTATATGTACTATTTATTGTAGAGAAAAAATCTATAATTGTAGAAATTTGTTTTACAATTTTTTTTCCGTGTAAGTTTCTCAGTTTACTGTTAGTATTTATTTTGCTTTGCGGTAGTAAGTTATTGTGTGTATTTCTTAGGAAATGGCGAGACAAAAATATTATACTGAAGAGGAATCACGTAGAATTTTACAGGAAAGTGACAATACTAGTGATGAAATTGAGATAAGTGATAGTGAATCTGAAAATACCGACACTGTCGAAGAACAACAGACAGTTCTAGATGAAATTACAGTACTTGAAAATGAAGGGGAAAATGCAACTTTTGTGCCAGTTGGGAAAATACTAAAGTCGAAATCGGGATATGAATGGAAAACACAACCACTTGCATCTACAAGGGGCAGAGCTCATAATATAGTTAATTCTCGTGAAGGTTTACAAAATAATAGAAGAGTATACATTTTGAAAATGAACAGGCCTTGTGATAAATTAGAAATTCGTTTTAGCTTGGCTCTTACTTCAATAAAGGACGCGTTCGGCTTTTATACAGGGTAGCTGTTAAAGATGGAACCAAACCTATAGTGCTTAAACGGTTCAACATACAAAATCCAAAATTTTAGAATTTCAACTAAATATATTTGCGCATATTTTAGCCCAAAACTTATTTTTCTTATAATTACAAAATTTTAAGCATGGCCGCCATCTTGATTTTTTTAAATTGCAAAATAGGTCATGTGATATACCATTTGAAAGGGTTTAACACCCTGATTACAAAAATGTATCACACATGGGGTTTAAACACAACAGAAAGGATATTATTTTAAAAAATCAAGATGGCGGCCATGCTTAAAATTTGTAATTATAAAAAAATAATTTTTGTGCTAAAATATGCGCAAATGTATTTAGTTGAAATTCTTAAATTTTAGGTTTTGTATGTTAAACCGTTTAAGCACTATAGGTTTGGTTCCATCTTTAACAGCTACCCTGTATAACTGAAGATATGCTGACATATGCATTCACACTAATCGACAAGGTGAAGTGTATACAGAAAAATTTAATGAATATCATCATGCTGACCAAATGAATTGGAAAACTGTTACAATTGCTGAATTATACGCTTTCATTGCAGTTCTTATAGCAAGTGGTAAAAATCACGCGAGAAAACTTCACTTGTCGGAAATGTGGTCCGAAAATGAACTTTTCAAACAACTATTTTTTACTGCTGCAACTTAGGTAAGATTTGATGACCTCCTCCACAAGGAAAAATAGAATAACGGATACAAAAGATAAACTTCAAGCAATTCGCAATACATATAATCAATTTGTAAATAATTGCATTGATAATTATTCACCTGGCGAAAAGATCACAGTTGATGAGAGATTAGCTACATTCAGAGGACACTGCCCATTTAGAGTTTATATAAAAAGTAAACCAGGTCGATATGGAATAAAAATTTGGGTTTGTTCGGACACTGATACAGCTTATATTTTGAACAGTCAGATATACACTGGAATAAAAGATAATCAACGAGAAGTGAATCAAGGTTTTAGAGTAGTTTTAGATATGGTTAGACCTTATTTTGGATCGGGGCGTGGAGTTACCACAGACAATTGAAGGGTGCCCGGTTCAAATAGTGCCAAAATTAAAAAGCCGAGATATTTTTAAAAAACAATTTTTTTTCAGGCCGTTTTGCAAAAGGTGCTATATACATTAGTTTAACTTTGATATTTTATCAGAACATACTAAAATATCATTTTAATTCAATTACCCATAAATATATTTCTTTAAATTTTCCGAAATTTTCATAAAGGGGAAAAAACATTTTAGAAACATGTTAAGTGCCACATACGAAAAAAGTTAAATAAATAAAATAAAAGACTAAACTCATTCAAACTAAAGATAACCCTTTATTTAACATCAAAATAACAAAAAAGTAAACATGTTATAATATTTAAACTTATTTTAATAGCAAATTTCGATAGAATTCCCTATGTTGTTCTTTTTCAAAAAAATCTATCATTGACTTCAATGATTTTTTTTTGTTTTCTGATATCTTGCTTCCTGGGGCTAAAAGCTTCAAGTTTACGTTTCTTATATCGTTAATAGTTTTCTTTTTTTTTAGAACGTTTATCTTGTGCGTAGGTTCGATATCGCTGAAATAGTACTTTACCTGTACTACAGTGGAACTTTCTTTATCGATACAAATCATAACAGCCTTACTAATATTTAGTTTTTTAAGGTCAATGAGGTTTTTCGCGGCCTCTTTAAGATCCCAGAATCCATAACATTCCATATCTATAATTTCAAAAGGCGGATGATATTTCGCAGATCTAATAACATCATGTAAATCTCGAGGAATCATGGTTTTCATTACTTTTTTGCGCCTTTCTATAAGCGCAAAATCACGGTCACATGACATAAAAGAATGTCCACTAACCAAAAATTTATGCTGAATATTTTCAAACACTCCATGAGTGACCAAAAAAATAAACAAGAAAATCATAACTTTATTCTTATTTTGGCCTGCGCAGTTGTCAGTTTAAAAGACAAGGCGTTTCTGTTCAACTAGAGAACTATTTAAAAATCTAAGTATACAAGAAGAAATCTCATTTCTTCCCCTTCCAGCCATTCCCTCGTTCCAGTTGCACATATATGCAGTGTTTGAGTTGCTACAATGGATTCCCAAGTTATAATAGCTAAGTTGACTCAAATAAAACATATCGCTGTGTGTTAAGGTAGGTACAAAAAGAACCTGTTGTAAATCTACCGACAAACAACATCTCTGAGCTCCAGGCAACTGTGATGCAGCCACATCCTCCTTCATTAAGTTTATGGCTTGTTCCGATTTTCGATGATGAATCTCCAGTTTTTGACGTGCTTCTAGGCTTGAGAATAGCTCTGCTTTTATTTCACATGTTAATTTGTCACAAACTCTACATGTGTCACTCCTTGGTGAACGAAATTTTAAATTAGGAAATTCTTTTAGAAATACCTTGCGGTAGAAGCGAAATGAACAGTTTGAATCCGGATATTTTTCAATAAAAGCATTATGTAATCGTTGTGTATTAAGTTCAGGACTGAGATATTTTTTAGTAGTTTGCGATCTCGAAAAATGACTTTCTTGCCTGGGTATGTCTTATTACCATATTTCGATCATCGTCGGTAAATTTTTTTAACTTATGAGATGTTCGGTTATCTTTAAAAGTAGTGTGCCCCAGCTTTTTCTTTCTTATTATTGTCTCAAGTTTCATTTTCGTCAATGAAAAAATGTCCATAAATGTTTGTTTGCAAACTCTTACCGTCTGCCCCGTTCCATCAGGAATAGAATAAAAGACAGTACATTGACGATGACTGTCCGCTGGATCCTCGTAGTTACCATGACGTCTCCTTCTTACTGGTCCCAGGCTTAATAGGTTCATAATAAAAGTTCCTTGTACGTTGGAAGTTTCATTGTAAAATCTTTTGTGTAAATCTAGATTTCTTTCATAAGTAACATTTTTACAGGAATGTAGCATTTACACGATACCTGAAATTAAAGAAAATATTATAGTTCTAAGTATTTAGGTATATTAAGGTAAGTATATTGTATAAATAAAATGTGATTTTATGAACCAACCCCTTTTGTATACCTTAATATACTACTTTATTCCATGCATTTAACTTACCTCTTGTTTAGGTTCTGCCTTTTTGGGTGTTGTTTTATTACGCCGAGTTTTATATTCCAGTCCTGCCACTTTTAATTTTTTTTGTTCATCCCTGAAGCGACCAGTACCTCGTTTTCTTTTAATATCCATGACAAAAACATCAAACACTTGCCCACTGAATTAAAGATTATTTTCCAATAATCAATAAATACTTCTGTGGCACTTAGATTATTTGTACTGAAACGTCATGTCATTTTTGAACCACGCCAACTTTACAATTTTTTTATAACCTTTCTAGTCAAGCTTGGCACTTAGCATTTTTGTGGGACATAACTAATGGTATATATAATGTTTGTATCGACAAATCTCAAAATTTAAAATTTTGGCACTTAGCATGTTTGTACCGGACACCCTTCAATTTGTTTACCTCAATTCCTCTTGCTGAAGAACTACTAAGACATAAACTTACAATTACTGGAAATATAAGGCCTAACAAAAGAAAGATTAGCTGCCGAATTTGCTCCTAATTCTGTACGCGAAGAACAATCCTCTATTTTTGGATTTTCGAATGATTTTACTTAGTATCCTATGTGCCTAAAAAAAAGAAAGCAGTTATTCTTTTATCAAAACAACTTCACAGCGACGAAATATCATCTGATGAAAATGCAAAACGTAAGCCTGAAAATATTTTACACTACAATAAAACCAAAGGGGCAGTGGACACTTGGAATAAAAGGACCAGAGAATATACATGTGTTCGTTCAACTAGAAGATGGCCTTTTAGGATTTTTATGGAAATTATTGATATGGCGGCACTCAATGTCTATATTATATTTACTAAAAAGTTTCCCAATTGGAAAATTAATAACCGAAGTAAGCGAAGGATTTTTTACAGAACTTGGCACAAGAACTTACACTTACAAATATTCTAAACAGGAAACAAAATAGCAATAATTTTCACAAAACTGCAATAGATTTATTTCTTACGGAAGGCAATGCCATAGTTCCAGAAAATCCTATTACAGAGATTGAACCTTCTACAAGTCGAAGATACTGCTTTTGTGTCAGATCACGGAATAGAAAGACATAAATATCATGTAGTATATGCAAAAAACCTACACGGAAAAAAAATTGTAGAAGAAATTTCTACAATTATAGATTTTTTCTCTACAATAAATAGTACATATAGGGACAGGGACAATTTGTAGTAAAAATTTCCAAATATTTGTGGAGAATGTATTGTAGAGTTATTATCTACAATATTTAGTAAAAATATCCAAATGCATCATAAGAATTGTTCTACAAATTGTTATAATTTTTGCTATTCATTGTATGAATTTATATTAAAAATGTATTGCGTTTTATGAAAATAAATACGAAAATTTTACACAATAAATAGTAAAAATTCATACAAATTGTAGTAATTTTTAATAAAACTTGTAGTAGTATTCCATAATTATTATAATTATAACCTAGAAAAAAATGTTTCTTAATAAAATATTCAATTTATAGTTTTAATACAAAAGATACAAAGTCTTAATTACATTATGTAATAAATAACAGTAATAATAGCACCCTCAGTCTCAGTTGGCTTTTTTGCACCTGAAAAATATGAAATAAAAATTAATAACAATTGAACTGTTCATACCCTTAAAACGGGGATATTTATCACCTTTACACTGATTTGGATATTAAATGACTAAGTCAGATAACTAACAAAAATGAGAAAGTAGGTATGTCACAATGAAGACAAAAAACATCATTGAATTTGGCACAAAATTCGATCGT